ATAAAGCTTTAGTCGGTAGCTTTTCAGCTGCTTTGAGTTAATTCTTCGGATGTAGCCAAGCAGGCTAACGGGCTATTTAGTTAGCATGCCGTGGTAGTGGGACCTGTTATAATCTGTCTGTACTGGCGGAAATTGATTCGTGACTTTTCGATTACCACAGATGCTGATGCCCAAGAAGAATCGCATTGCTATCTATGAGCTCCTCTTCAAGGAGGGAGTCATGGTGGCCAAGAAAGATGTCCACCTGGCCAAGCATCCCGAGCTTGCTGACAAGAATGTCCCCAACCTTCATGTGATGAAAGCGATGCAGGTGAGAAACTGGAAGATGAAGACAGATCACTAGTGGTTGTAAAAGTTCATATTTTGACAAGCACATAGCGAAAATCAAGCCATATAGTCTCTCCTGTCTATTCTAGTGGCACATAAGCAGTAAATAATGGCCTCTAGAAACGGGCGGTATTGATATCAAGTTGTTTGTACCAGTAATATGTATGAAGACTTGGTTAAGAGAAGACATGGGTATGTGGAAGTGTTGTGCACGGTTTGTTGCACTTGCAAGATCAGCAGGTTAAGAAAATTTGGGTTGGGCAGCTTTTGTATTACTATGTAAGGAAGAGAAGTATGGCATGATTTATGAATCGAAAGCATGGTCAGTAGACTGATTCTGTTTATTACCATCAAATTTAAATTATTTGATATCAAAACAACAGCAACAAAGGCACAAATGTTACTCAATAGAAGGCATTGTATCTGTAGTATTGATACTCTGGAGATTGATCCCTACAGAAGGTTGTCACCTTTGCCTGCATTTTGAATTTAACACACATCTGCACACAGGTGGATTAAGTTCTTTTAATGTGCAGGGTGGGCCACGGAAAAATAGCCCATGTACCCAATATTGCCCATGGCACTGGTATTGGAGGCGGGCTACTTTTCCATGGCCCACCTGATCCTTATCAAGGGGGTATTGATACTTCATTGTAGCGCACACAGGACTAGGGAGAAAAATGTATAGTCGAACAACAGTTAGACCGTTTACATCTGTAACAACACAAACGAGTGAATTTAATGTTGGCAAGGCCTGAAAGATTCAGTAGGATTTACTGTAAATACAGTATGTCATGTGTTTTTGATGGGGACCAGACAAAAAACTGATGATGATCAAGCAACAGTGTGGGTCAGGGTTTATCATTGTACAGGGAGAGCCGTGTCTTTTGAATCTAATGTTGTGTTCTTTATAATGGCATTGGAGTAAAATTCAAGTAGGCTCCCCAATATTCTTTGTTAATGAGAAACTTGTCTGAGTCATGCAGCTTGTGTGAGTAGGTATTAAATTAGATTCAACTTTATTGTCATTAGACATGCACAAGTACAAGGCAACGAAATACAATTTAGCATCTAACCAGAAGTGCAATAACAGCAGTGCAGAGTGCGCAGTATCTACAGTATGAACAGTCAGTATTAATATACTGATATTTATGGTAAGATGTGTAAAGTAATGTACAATATACAACAGACTATGGATTTAAATTACAAGTAATGGACAAAGTACATTAAGCTTAAGTACAATGGGATGAAATGGAACAAGTTAAAAGTGTACTTCATCGTGGCACCACTCATAGTGACTTGACTTTTGTCCCCCAGTCCTTGAAGTCCTGTGGGTATGTCAAGGAGCAATTTGCCTGGCGTCACTTTTACTGGTACCTCACCAATGAAGGTATCCAGTATCTGAGAGACTTCCTCCACCTTCCCCCTGAGATCGTGCCCGCCACCCTGCGTCGCCAGACCCGCCCAGAGACCGCAAGGCCCAGGCCCAAGGGTAAGCCCTCTGTTTTTAGTTTTTTTTTGTCTCAGAGGACTTTAAATTGTCTATTGATTGTCAATAGACAATCTGACAAAACCACATGGCTCAGTGTTGTGAGTTGAGAAGCTCTGATAGTTGATTTCCAGCTGTGTAGTAGTTTTAAGATATTTTAACTGCAGTGTAGAATTATAGAAATGCAAATCCAGACACCAATCAGTCACAATTAATAGGATTTCTGCTGATTTAGTAGGAAGGGCTGGGACTTGAGAAACATGACAAAAGTCAGATGATGGTCCTCCCTTATAATTCATGCCTGTATATATATTTTCTTTTTATCAAGTTGTTTAAACAGTTGTTAAACCAAACTGCATTGCATGATAAAGGAAACAGACTTTCAGCTTTGAGTTTTATTCTCTGATCTGAACACATAAAGGCAGCTGTTGGTCACATCAGTCTGTTCAGGGATGATGTTTCTCCCTTTGTCTTAAATAATCTGCACATAAAGGCGATAAATGGTTATACTGTTACTCTGTTTACTATACATGTTTAGTAAGGCCCGTCAGTATTAAAACCAGTCATCAGTGCATTTCCTCTTATTCCATCCTTTTCTGCAGCAGCATAACCGTTAACCACCAATGACCTGTAGCTGAGTCTTTTCTTTTTTCTTCCTGCAGGAATGGAAGGAGAGAGGCCTGCCCGTCTTAACCGTGGGGAGGCTGACAGAGATGCCTACAGGCGATCTGCTGCACCCCGTAAGTATACCGACAGCAACACTGGTGACCCTTATCTCCATTTATGTGGTCCTCTGTGTTAATAGTTAAAATGGGACACACATAGGCCATGTCCAAAATACTGCCTCATTCACTGTTCCTTATATCATGTACACTCAACAATTCACTCAGTAGTGAACAGTACATTGAGATTTTGGACATTCACTAATCATCGTCATTTTGCATCAACGCTAAAGCTCTTAACTTACTCAACAGTAATTCTTATCCACCAATAAAATGCAAAGTGTTGCATTGTGGGATTGTTAGCAGAAAGTAGTGTATTTGACTCAGCTTTTGGACACAACTACAACAAGGCAAACACAGGAAGTGATTTTGCACACAACCAGTCTTAAGGGGAGGTAGAAATAGTGACTTTACCTATGGAGGTTTAGTTTTAGATTAAGATAAAACAGCAATATAATTTTAGAGAATAAAGTATGAAAAACACAGTGTTGTCAAAACAAGTTGATAGTACACATGTTTTTTTGTTTTTTTTTTTAGGAAACAACCGTATAAATCATAGCTTTAATTACAGCTGAAACAGTCAATCCACAAAAAGTGAAGTTTTCATCATTGTTTCATTTTTCAAGCAAAGTCATTGAACACTGCAGGATTAACTGCTGCTGTTTGTCATACTGACATTTAACTAAGTAGCTTGTGGGTTTTGTAGTCAGACGAGACATTTTAAGACATCGCCTGTTCTGTGGAGTTGAGCAAATTTAATCTGCATTCATCATAAAAATAGCTGGTTGCAGCCCTGATTTTTTTTTTTTTTATAAATATGTAAAGTCATTGAATTGACCAATAACCAATGTATTACTTTTAAGTTTTAAAATGATAGAGTAAAAAACAAAACAAAACTTGCCTCTTAATGTAGAGGTAGGTGATAATGTAGGTGACTTCTCTCTCAAACATAAACGTAACTGTGTTTGTGTAAAAGCCTTTTTATTTTGCTAGTTTATGGAGACAAATGTGTTTCAGAGTGAGATTTATGAAGGTTATTGACTGACTTGTTCGTTCACACCTCCTTCAGCTGGTGCTGACAAGAAAGCAGAGGCCGGGGCTGGAGCCGCCACAGAGTTCCAGTTTGTAAGTACTCTTCCTTTTGTTTATGGGGGTATTTTTGAACAATTTTATATTGGCAGCAAAAGCACATTTTGGTCTTGAATGATGTTTATCTGTTAAGAGCGATGTTTTCTACAGCAATTATACAAGGAATGCTCCACATTCCTGCCTGTAACATTGTTTGCTTGTGGCTGCACTTCTATATCAGTGTTTGTCAGGAAGCAGCATTTAGTTTGTGTAGTGCAGCTGTAAAACTGGATTCTTCTGTTGAACTTGGTTTGGCTGGTGCACTGACAAAACCTCTGTGTTGCAGAGGGGTGGCTTCGGACGCGGCAGAGGACAGCAGCCTCAGTAAATGTCACTATCTCTTTCTGTACAATAAAGACATAAAAATACAATTTGTTCATCTCAGTGTTCTTTATCAATGGAGATTGTTTGTGGCTGATGAATTTAAAAGGGAACTACTAGTTTTTGTAGGATATATCTTTTCATGCTGAGCTGATTAAGCACAATTCAAGATGGCAGTAACCAGGTTTAAAACAGGATCATGTTTGTCATATTCCTGATCATTATAAAGGTGGCAAAAGGAGGACAGGTACAGATTTGATGCAGGATCTAGTGATTCACTGGAAACTAGTGAAACTGACTGTATTTGGGAAGGAGGTCCAGCAGATATTTTGACTTGTAGTGGGAAAAACACAAGGGGTACAAATACTAACAGTGGCTCAGATACCAAGGAAGCCATGGCAGTACACAAAATACTGGGCCCCTGAAACCAAAGCAGATAAATGTAGTTTAGCTATTGTTTATACCTGCTTTTACTGTTGTCACTTCTAAAATGTCTTCATTTAAAAATAGGTTTATGGGACTTGTTATATTTATATACGTTATATACTACAATATATACTGTATTGTAAACCTCGTAGTAGTATATTGTCTTGCTGTTAGTATGAAGTAAAATATACCTAAGTGAAATTGCACTTGTGCCACCAAACATCAATGACAGATTTGATAATCTGCTGCTTTTCACAGTCATGTAAGATTGTAAACTGATTATTTTGTGTGCATTCGTCAGGAAATGAAATGAAACCTGAATCATTGTTGGCTTTGGGAAATTATAGCAGGCAACTTTAAATATTTTCTGACTGATCAATAGATTGAGAAAATAATTACCTGTAGTAACTGCTTGAAGACAATTATGACTGAGTGCTAATGTATTATATTTAGAACCTGGTACATGAAAAGAAAAGGTGGTAAAACAGTAGTTTACAGAAATCTAACTATAATCCTCAAGTCAGTCTCTTTTACATAGAATATTATGTAGTATGTACTAAAGCAGTACTACAAACACAGACACGATCCTGAATGTGAAATACTGGTGTTTATTTGTTGGCACATTTATATTACAATCTTCAGTCTTCTCGCACTGGTTTTATTCCACAGTCCCAAATGACAAAAGAAGAAAATTCCAGTGACACATATACCTTAGAGAACACAATTATGAGTATGCATCTTCAAGGCTGAGGTCAATGGCTGCAAGTGCACATGTGTCTCGCTTGTTATTCAGTTGCAAGTATTTAGGGGACATTTTCACTTTACATAATTTTTTAAAGTCATTCATTTGATAAAATGGTCAGATCCTCTTGCTAAAGGAAAGTGAATGTTACAATCCTCATTTGTTGTATTAATATTTTAGGTTTGACCACAAGATTGTTCTTTCAATAATCCATCCTCTGTTTTGCCCAAGTTTAGAAGCTTCGATGTTTTTACAGAAGAGCCAATTACAACAGCAGAAATCTCCAGGAAGAAAAGGTAGACGTGTTTACTCCATCTCAACCCCACATAACTCCAGCTACATGGAGGCATTTACTTCATAGATACCTATTGAACTCCAGCCTGACTCACTACTTGTGTGACAATGGAGTTGTTAAAAAACAAACAAACAAAAAAAACAATACTTTTACTTTATGCCCAAAGTGCATCCTCTGGCTAGAAGGGTGCTGTGTTAGCTATATACAAGACAGCTTGTCCATAACACAACAGATTAAAGAAAAAACAAACTGGATAAAGAACAAGTGGTCATTAATAAGTCACTGGCTGTTAATTTGTGGACATCCTCCTCACATTCATTTTGACAGTACCTGTCACCCACATCCAAACGAGTGAATTATGTCAATTAGGATTAGGTCCCCCCCCCCCCAGTAGCACATCTTGATGACTGTTAAAATGTCTGATCAATAATTAATCTCATGACATGTCAGGTAGGGCATCAGAAGACTTTGGCCACAACACCTTTCTGATATACAGCAGTAAAAGCCAGTTCAAAGTCTCAGACCGTTGTGGAGACTTGAGACGCCCTACACCTGTACAGGCAGTCAGCGAACCATCAGAATTCCTAGTTTGTCTGAAGCTTGATTTGCTGGGACAGTGATGGCCCCTTCAATGATGAACGAGTGAAGAGACAAAAGGAAGACTGACCACTAACTGATACCCACTGCTGTTAACGTAAAAACCTATCCTGCCCCTTTTGTACGTTAGCTTTGTTCCACTAGCTTCCAGTTGTCAATGTAACTTCTCAATTTCCAAAGAGCCATTTCTCATCATGATACCAGAGTCTTCTGCCCATATTCAATGATAAATGGGTATCTGCTACTTTGCTGAACAGTAAATTCGGTGTACCTCATTTTAACCAAAAGAAATGCATTCAGCAGCTACAGCCCCTTTTACTTTAGCCTCAGACACACAATCAAAAACTTAATCAGAGCTGTGTTTGAGTGCTGACGAAATAGTTTGATTTCTTACTCAAAAGTTTACCTTTTCTTAGGAGTAAATACATTTTTAAAATTAAAAATAGCTATAATCAGTATTTTTAACCATTTAAATAACCTGCATGTGGACAGGGTTGCTCTCAGTGATGAATCAGCTGAGCATTCCCTTAGCCGTTTGGAGCGATTAAGCATCTTGCAGCTTCCCGTTTTGGGTTTCCAGCCTGCAACTTTACTGTTTACTCTCACAAGCATAGTTTTTGGCCACAGCAAGCAGCTGCACAGAAGTTATAAACTCAATTGACCTTGTACACAGTAGCAGACAGACAAAGTTTCATCAACTCAAGAGTAAGCTATTTCATCCAGGGGTTGTTCGAAATCAAAACAGACCTAAAAAAAAGAGATTGAATATTGAACTTGGATTCAGTACGTGGCCAGAAACATGACTCAAGTGAACATTAATACCGCTGGGTAGCTGTTCACCAACAAGTTAGCCATATTACTAAAAAGGTAATAATGTTACTGCTGTGTTTAGAGCGTCTTTCTGCTATAGACAGAAAACCACAGTATGATGTTTGAGATTTAAAAAAATAAAACTCAATGAGAAAATACACTGGGACTGGTGGAACAGCTGCTATCTTCAAAAGGACTTGAGACCTAATTGTTAAACTAAGCAGTGGTTTGGAAACCGCAGTTGTACTTCATTTAATAGATCCCAAAGGATCGGGTGGGGGGCACATAATAATCTCTTACTGTTACAAATTTATTTTAAAGGATTATTAATACTCTTCACTCTTAGCTACAATCACAGTCACATTCCTTGTTCCTTAACCTCAGATGTTCTCTGTGCCATCTCAAGAGAAAATCCCTAACAGCTCCAAAGCCAATGCTATGAGTTCAGTTCTTCCAGCCTCAGTTTAAATGACATGCAGCACTCAGATGCACAAGAGGTGATTTGTCATTTGTAGTCTCACCATTGATCTATACAGAAATAAACAATTTACAATAAAAACCTCTTACATGCTATCTACAGCGCCTCCAGTTTCACAGTATCGAGCCAGCTGCCTCACTCCACAGAGGCCAAGTGACACAGCTCAGCTAATGAGACTATTGCCAGAAGTTAGAGAGAAAAACAAAAACAAATACTAGTATCCAAAAGCATTTTACATGTTAAAAATGAGGTCTCAAACTGTACAAGGCTTGTTTGTTCTGCATCTTGCCAAAGACAGCATTGTAGATTCCATTACTTTCAAGCAGGTGTTTTGAGTGTTTTTGGGGATGCAGATTAAATACCAACAAAGTAAGGGTTAAAAAAAAAAAAAAAATCATGACCATAATGAAAAGTGCCCACAAAGTCACCTGTGCTATGTTACACACAATGTAAACAACTGCTTTTAACCAAACTGAATGTGAGGAGTAAAATATAGAAATTGGTTTTAATAATTTAAGTGATATGTGCTGCATTTTGAAATGATAAGTCCACGATTTTGAAATCTATTACTTCTACCCTCTCAATATGCGGAGGAAGACTCTGTAGTCAGTCACAAGAAAGCATTTTAAAAAAAGAAAACAAAAGGGATTAAAAGGAGGTAAAGACACCGAGGAGAAAGGTGGTTCATTTTACATTGGATGCTGACATTCTTTCACCCTCTGTGCAATAAATATGCTCTAAGAATGAAACCTGTAGTGCTTGGCTTGCTTGCCAAATAAGAGAGAAATACAGCTGATACTTGAAATTTAAAGATTACTGAGGGGCCGTATCTTTCTGGTTATAGAGAGTTCAACAAACACAGTAAGGAGCTAAATGAAGAGAATCCATAAACCTTACTACAAGTCTGTTGTAGTCACTCGAGCAAGTGAGACACAATGCAACAGTGCTCATGCAAGACAAGTCACTTCCCACAATTCGTTCATTCAAATACGACGAGACTTCCTCTCCTTATAAGAAGGGAGGGGGTACAATAATGAGCACATTCATTCACAGAAAAATAACTGAAAATGGAGGACACATTAAAAGCCTTCAGCTTAAGCACTAAGTATACACACTTTTACATTACAACAGTAAAAAGTAGTTCTTGCATTCAATAAACACCACGCAAAGGGCGCATTAAGGAAAGAGAATGCGGGGACAAGGGGACGTTTCATGCAGTTGTCAGTAAAAAGAAAAAAGAGGGGTCAAAAATTACATTTACATTTACAAAGTATTCATCCAATACTTGTCATCAAGTCTGTGCCACAGCTCTGACACAAAGGTGTTGGCAAGGCAAACCATGTTATTGAGACAAAAGAAAGAAGAGTAGAGAAAGAGAAGAGAAATGACACAAGTAAAGAGCGCGAGTGGTGGCGAAAGCTTCTGGGGATGTCAGCCATGGTTTTAGTTATCTGATACCCGAGACAGAGCTCTGATTGATGCTGTAGGTAGGGGAGAGTTCCCCGCCTATTGTGGCCACCAAAGGTGTTCCGTTACTGGTCAGGCAACTCTCCTGGAGAGCCTCGAAGTAGGTGGCCTGCACAGGCTTGTGACACTGCAACACTTGTATGGCATCGTCTATTTTAAACCATTCCCTTTTTCTTCCTGTTGACAAAAGAAGACACCATTGTGGAGCAAGTTAAGACGTGAGAGACAATACAAAAAAGAAAAGGTTTGAAAGAAACGGGTTTTGACTAATTAACTGGATTGTACACAGAGCATTACAGTGAAAACTACAAGGGAACAAAGCCGCTATTATAATCCCACAAACATGCAGTAAAGTCCTTGAGCTGCAATATCCCAGCCTGGGAAAGACAAATAAAGCTATAGACAGCAGGCGAGTGCCGAGGAACTTTGTACGTATGATCCCCATTTTTGACAAGTAAACAAATGGGCTTTACCAATGTTGACCGAGTCCTCCCAGTCCTCTAGCACCTCTGTTACAATGAGAACATAGACGTAGGTTCTGTGTTTTCTCTCTTGGTTCTGCAGGGGGGGAAATGATCCTACTTTCACTTCTCATTCCCAAACATACTGTGCACAGTACAGTGACATTTGAAGCCAAGAAAAAGTTAAACGAATGCCAGCTCACCTCAAATACGCCAATTAAGCGACCTAAAGTCCCCTTCACACCAGCCTGTAAATGAAGGAAAAATAATAAAATGGTGAGCAAATTCATGCTGTAGTTGCACCATAAAAACAACAGACTGCAACATAATTTAACTGGTCTGATGAGACTGTCTCAGAGAGTTGTTGGTTTAACTATTCTGTGGGGGTGCATTTTGTGTTGAAGTGGATTACACTACATCACAAGATTGTTTTAATCCTTCCAAATGCTCCATCCAATTCACGGGCAGCTGCCAAATAGTGAAAATAATGCATCATAAAAATTATACCAAAAACTCAGACTTGGCTTGACCAAAAAGCTGAATTCATGTCCTGCAACACAAGCAGGTTTTGAATTTTTACGATTAACTGTAAATCAAACTACAGGTGTAAATACAGTATCATTTATTATTATTATATTAATGCTGAGTTTCATTTTCATTGAATCTGACAGTTATTATTTCAGAAAATCAATTAACTGATTGGTCTACAAAATGAAAGAAAATAGACAGACATAGCCCCACATCACAATTTCCCAGATGCCATGTTTTTCCAACCAACAATCCAAAACAAAAGATATTTAATGTACCATTATATAAAATAGAGAAAATGACTAAATCCTTGCATTTGAGAAGTTGAAACCAGCAAATGTTTGTAATGGCCAGTAAATCTATTTTCTAAATCCTTGTGGAAGAATATTCCATCAACCCATTAATTGATTAAATCCTTGAGGTTCTAAGCTACACAGCTGCAAAACACATGTAAATGGTTCTGTTCAACTGTGACATACTGACCACTTCCCTGTCACATGCTGGGTAACATGAAAGATAGAATAAAGAATAAACTTTTTGCTTTCAGTTGCTCTTACACTTTTAAACATATTCAAATAACAAAAATCAGCTCTAAGGCAGATCTCAACTCCCAGAGTGAAAAGGTGGTAGAGTTTAAATACAGAGCCAGGCCACTTGCTGACATCTTAGCAGCTTCTTCTGGTTCCAGTTTCAGTCTATAAATAAATGTTGACTCCATGCACTGTACCACCCTTGCACTCAGATCATATGGAAAAGAACAGGCCCACCGCTAGAAAGCTCAAAGGTGTGCCAGAGATTAAGTAATAGGCCAAAAGTCAACCTGCATGTTTTTATGAAATGGAAAATGTCTCCCGGCTCAGGCACTGGTATCAATGAAAACTACTGGGCATCATCATCATCATCGTGGAAGAGGCTATACAGCATTGAGGCTACACTACAAGTTATGCAATGTTGTGTTATGTCTTCATGGTGCAAGGTCAGGGTGTATGACTACACTGTAACCTTTATAGTCTTTGGCCTGCTGCTCAGTACTGTGTCTTCACTCTCATCTGGCAAAACCCCAACCAAACCAGTAAGCCTAACACTCAATGCTTGTATGGTCATCAGAATAAGCTTGGCAGGATTAGAATATGTCCTGTTACGTTACATCACCGTCCAATAAGAGGCTTAGAAAGCCACAGTACGTGGCGATACATTAAGTATCACTCAAAGTCACTGCAAAGTTGATGACTTCAGCCTTTTAGTACTTTTAACAATCCTCAGTAGTGATGTGACATTGCTTATGACCCTGTTGAAATGTGCTGGCAAGCCACAGCATCTTACAACTGCCAACACTACCAAACAGGAAAACAGATGATATCAGCATCCATCAGTGTGATGGATGGATCACACACACAGAATGGGCTTTATATGGTCAGTGACCCACCACGGGTTGACCACTGGGTGAGATTCAGAGTCGTCAATGCCCTGTCATTGATCAAGATGCCCGAGCAATGAACAGCATGTACAGTGAAGGGACGTGATTTAAAGGACGGATTTAAATGGTACAGGGTGAGCCACGGAAAAGTAGCCCCACCCTGTATAAGCAGGGTATTGATTTTCAATGAGTTTCACAATTCTGCTAGTTGTACTCCCCAACACACAAACAAAAAAAGTCATATTTGTCCTTCGAAATGCTGCTGTTATAAAAACTGATGTTTGAAAGATATAAACCAATGAAAGTGAACCGTTTTCCCTCATCTGCTGCATTTGTGAGATTGAATAGTACTGCAGTGCAATCACTGGGTTGCCAGTGTTCAAGTCTCATTTTGAACTCTTAACACTGCTTTGTAACATGATGCTGTGATACAGCTTACATGTTGCTAGGCTCTCTCTTTCTGTCCATGCACACAGAATGACTACACCGACAAAATGAGCTTTTGAGAGCAAGGTATTAGGCATAGTGTTAAATACAGACATGATTTAACTGAAATACAATACATCTTGTGAGCCTATACTCAAGCTAATTTGCTACACTGCAAGTGGAAATCCATTCTTAGAACAATATTCCTGGCTATGAACTAAGTCTAGAAAGACATGTTTCACAGCCATGTTTTGGGTACAATGATCAAGTAAGGTCTGCCAGTAACACAGTCTACAAAGTAATGCTTATCTGCCAAGGGCCCACAATAAAGGCTTAAATTAGATATAATAATGATTTTAAAAGACTGTTAAAGACCCAACCTCTTCACACACTTCCCGAGCTGCAGCAACATTGGGCTCTTCCTCAGGCTCCATTCCCCCTCCAGGTACTATCCACTTGTCAGGATGTCGACTGCTACTCACCAGCAGCACCTGTAATGCATCCCATACAAGACAGATTAGGAATTACAGTCAGGTTTAGCGTCATCTGGTAATACTGTTCATTGGTGTGAGTTCCCATTTAACAAGAACTTGAGTAAGATACGCAGCGATCTGTGTTAGTAATAGATTCAAGAAGTGCCAGATCCCAACATGTGACACAGTAGTTACCTGTCAACCATGACACTGAAAACTATCAACACTGAAGCTAGATATTGTGAGTGCAGTTAACGCACTGTACGGTTGAAATCTTATCATACATTTTATTACAACTAGGGTATGAGGCACCTCTTTTGCATTTTTCACCTGATACAAGTATGATGAGTTCATGGTGTCAGTCTGTTGAGGATAAGATGTGTGCAGATCTGGTAGGTCAATGTCTGATAAAACTTTCTGGTTAACTACGGGTCATACTGATGTGTTTCCTGTAATAACAGCCCATGTTATTCACAATGTGGCCTCAACTTTTACCAGAATTAGGAATTTGTTTAGCCTCAATTCCTCAACACCCCTGGTAAATGTTTGGACTACAAGGGCATCTTTGTGCGTGACTGAACATCAGCTTCTCAAATCGCTTCTGATCTCTAATAACCCTTTGCAGACTAGTTTGCTTTAGGGCACACGTTAACAGTAACGCTACACGATAAACTGTGAATTAATGGCAATCTGTAAACAGGTAGACAGATTGCCATTAATTCGAGTGCCAGCTCCAGATTTTATTACCGTCATAAAGTAAACAACGCAAAGTACACAGTGCTGTAAGTCAACCTGGTACCACTACCAGAGTAGTCTTCTGGCTAAAGCTAGCACAGCTAATAGCTACATATCAGTCCCATGTTTAACTGGCAATACCAGTTGCATTAGTGCGAACACAGTTAACACTAGTTAACAGTTACTTAGCTCGACGGAATATCTGTAACACGAGCAGACAAATATTTTATCCTGCCACTTTAAAAGCAAAACTTTTTTTTCTATCCTACCGAGCGCACATGATGATAAAGTTACCACTCATCACAGCCTATGTTATGGGCTGTGGTCGCTGGCCGAGAGCCGGGTGCCCACAGCAACACTGCTAGTTAGCACGCTAACGCTAGCATGCAGCTAACAGGTCGACTCCGAGTAAGACTATGTATAAGAACACGAAGCCGCTATCTACATGGCTAAGAGGCTTACATAATACTCGGTAAGTACGAGCTGAAAAATATGGTATAATGCACAACCTCAGAAGACATATCGAAAGGCTACAAAATGAGTGTGTCATCGTCTCCAGCTGGCACAAAACTACAGCTGTGTTGATAAATATATCGATTTACAGACACTGAAAACAGCTACGACTGCTAATGTTAGCTTTGCCCGCCAGACAGCAACATCACCGGACTCACCTCCTCCTCGGTCTCGCTCCTGAAACACAGACAGGCGGCCCGCTTCTTGTAGCCATCCCCGTCGTACGTCCGCGTTTGGTTTGACTTGAGCTTCATCATTTCGGGGGCACAAAACTTCAAAAGTACAGCTAAGCTTACCACTTATAAAGATGATGGTTACAGACGTAAAGTCCTCCTCTGGGGAACCTCGACGTTGTACTTAAAAGAAATAACTTCTTCTTCGCTTCATTTTCACAAACCTAGCCACATCTACGGCACGGTCGCCATTACAAGGAGCCGCTACGCCCACGACGTAATTTATCCTTTAATAGCTCGGGGAGCGTAAGAAAATGACCTACCAGGCGTTGAAGAATTGCGGCAACGGCTAGAGGCAAAACGCAACACCAGGCTCTGGGAACTGGCACTTTTGGATCTAACTAGCCTGCCAAGGCCACTTGTTTGGGGGTGATATATTCCTAAATTTATGCCAACTTAATTTGAAAATTTCTGCGTGTAGTATGCTGTCAAAATTGCTAAATAGGATTCACTGTTGAGCCATCAGTTTCAGCACCGCAGGTAATGGACAGCGCCAGCAGACTCTTCAAATCTGACCCAACAGTGTGAACTAAAATGGTATGCTTGTTCACTCCTGCTATGACACTAGCTATGAAGTAAGGTTTTAAGAAATAGCTTCTGAACTGTTGGGATATGGGATATGGGATCATGAGCATTTTACAGTAGATCATGATGTAAACAACTTACAGTGTATTTGCATAATGCATAAGCATGTTTGTCTTACTTCATCTTATTCCATCTTATTACTATTCCATTCTCATTTTGAATTAGAGCAATCTAATTCACCAACTACCTCATGTACAGGATCAAGAATTTTGAATTCCAATGCAATGCCATATCTGCAAAAATTGTAATGCATTAAAAGCAAATAAAATGTCAGTATAATGAATTCTTACAATGATGCTTTTGAATATTAATCTATTCTACTGAGTATTTCATTTTTTGTGTCATGTTATCACTTTTTTAATACTCTTATCTTTATATCCTCTTTGCTTTTTTCTGTGAAACTACAAAGAATTAGTCAGTTTCAGGTCCTTATTTCTGCTGATATTCTGATTTATATCAAATGTATCTGTATATCTTTGGGTTTTGGACTATCATTTGGACAAAACCAGATATCACCTTGGTCTCTGAGATACTAGGATGGGCATTTTCATTTATAGATTAAATAAGTGATCGATTAATTGAGACAATACTGGTGAGATTAAACAATAATGAAAATATTTCTTAGTTGCAGCCCTAAACGGATTACCTGATTGGTCTAATGTCAGATAATGATAAAAATGTCCATTATTATTTTCCAGAGTTTAAAGTGGCATCTTCAAATGCCCTGCTTTATCAGAACAATAGTGCAAAACCCAATGAGATTCAATTAGCAATTATAACTCAAAGAAAACAGCAAATCGTCACACTGGAGAAGCTCACATCAGAGCATGATATTCCTTAAAACATTACTTGAACAGTAAACCCTTTATCAGCTGTGGATTAATTTTTTTTTGTAAATCAACTAATCAATTAACTGATTAATTAACTGAGAAATGTTTCAGCTATAATAAATGTCATTACATTTTTGCAAATGGTTATGGGTAAATGATTGTTGATAGGACTAACTCCAAGATTTTGTAATCAAGATAAAAGTTTAGTACAATCTAAGTATAATCTCAATCCAAATTAAACCTTATTATATTTATTTCTAGGTTTTTCGCAAGAGGTTGCACTTTTACTATCTGGAGTTGCTACGGCAACCTACTGCCCTGCAAGTGTGGGGAATGGTTCCCACACAGGGATACAGTACCTGCCATGTCCAAAAGAGGGCGCTCAATTCTTTCAGTAGACACGAGCCAGGTTATGAAAAGGAGTACTACTCAGTTGTAAAATTCTTGTGAATTATTAAAAGAAAATTTACCATATAGTAAATATTTGATAATAAGGAGCTCCCTATTATATTTAAATACCTTCTACCTCTGTCTTCTTTGTATATACAATGCTTATTGCAACCCTACTTTGTTGCTTTCCTGAGATTTTACTTGTTTTCTGCATTCTTTTGTAGTTGTTCCCTATATGAGACAGTAGTTTAATAATATAGTTTTACACCATAAAGGCTGTTAAAAACTGCAGCTCTCTGAGGAAAATCATTTTTGGACCATACAAATAAAGCTGACATGAACTCCAAATCATTCACTGATTTCATTGAAGGCCATAGGAAACCTACTGGCTAACATGCTTGGTGATTTTTGGAGATGTCTCCATCATTTGATAATAGGTGAACTTTGAATATTGGCATTTTTCAGAGAGAGTTATGTTAGTCAAACAACATGTTTCAGAGAGCAGTGCTGGTGTGTGGGCGCAGGTAGAGAGGGCTTGAATCAAAATTCAAATCGCATCAAAATTTATTTATATATCACTTTAAAAACAATAACTTGTTGACCAAAGTACTCTTCATAAGCCACAAAAAAAATAAATAAATAAAAAGCAAAAAGATGATCCAAAGACTATGAAAAATAAGTGTGTTTTAAACAGAGACTTAAAGACTAGCAGATCCGTTGCAAATCTGATATTAATAGGTAAACTGTTACACAGTTTTGGGGCCATTATGGAAAAAGTGCCATCACCCTAGCCATTTGTTCAGCTCATGCTCTGTCTAAAAGAAACTGATTTGAGGACCTAAGAGATCTCATTGGCTTGTGCTACTGCAGGAGATCACTGAGGTAAGCAGGGGCCAATCCATTAAGAACCCTAAAAACAAATAACAGTAACTTAAAATTTTAAAAGGGATTGGGAGCCAGGCAGAACAGGGGGTATGTGGTCACACTTATGAGTACTTGTCAGCAGACGAGGAGCCGCATTTTGAGCAAACGTAGCACTCAGCTTTATATTGACATTACTTTTCTTTTTATATGACAGATCAAGATTCATGCGTGGATTTTTTTTCTGGTTCCAAAGGGGCTGGTGATTGGTGGGGCTAACTAAGCAGATGGTGGCTGATCAGGTCATGGTATTAGGATGAAGTGGCCTATCAAGCCAGTGGGGCCAGCCAAAGTAGTTGAACTCAATTAGAAACAATATAGATATAAGACCCAGTCAAGCCACCAAGAATGTTCTCTTTCCTTGGGTGAAGGATACAAACACATTTTAGATGTATGTTAGGTCAGATATATGGTGTTCAGTAGATTTATAATGGCACAACATGATACTGCAGGTCTAATGATCATGAATGACCATTTAACATTACTGTGCTTACCCAGTTTTGTTTATTTTTTATTTTTATTTGTTTCCACTCCAAGCTGGATCACACCGTGAGCACAAGCCAGTTTCACCAACTTTGTAAATTCAAACTTAGGGGAGCTGCAACATTAGAGTTTACCAAGTGGAGAATTACACCTGGTAACTGTCAGGGTAACTGGTGCTTAGCTAACAGATTTAACTGGCAGAGCTAACACTAGCTCTCTAATACAGGGCCAGTTTAGAGTGACCAGTAAAAGAAGGAATATGATTAGCACACCTGACGTGATGCTTGATAAAAACACTGTTAATGGTGCACTTCCTGTTTACAAAGCTATGCTAGTCTTTACTTTTGTCTGGGTGGAATTATGGGTGTTTTCTAGCACCAGATTTACACATGACTAAAGTCTTAAGGCATTTGTTAAGTTATGATGCAGATTCAGTAAGTCACTAGTAGTCATTAAGGAATTACATCTTAGTTCAGTGTTGGACTTAGGTTTCTTTGTTTTGTTTTGTTTTATTTTTTTTTACTTTAGACCAAAATAGAGTTTAAGAGACTGATGATAAACTATAAGTCCTTACAGTCATATTTTAAATGACAAAAGCAGAGAAATAGAGCAGTCACAACCAGAACTCGACTGTGGCAAAGTTAATGAGCAGGGAAATTCAGCTACTGGCCTAGTGCTATATCTCTTAATATGGCAGTCCCTATGAAGATGTATGACACACAAACAAAGGCTATGCAGCCACTGTGGATTGTTTAATCGAAGATTGCAACAATATTGGCAACATTAACCTTTAGAGCGTCTTTTTTCTTCAGGTAAATATGGGTGTTAATGACTAAATAAGCAAGAGATTGTGCTGTTGTGCCCAAGGCCAGAATAGATTGTGCTTGGCTTCACACGTAAGAGAAGCAGTTTACTGTGTTGTGATTTTCTGGGCTTGAAGTTACATTGCCCTTTCTTTGTAAGGTACCCAGCATCATTCTTGTCATTTGGAGAAATCTATTTACATTTATAACACAAGGATCATTAACTAATTGTATCAGTATTTCATCAACCAAAGTATGCCTCACCAATTTTATCTGTTATGTTTTATTTATGGACTGAAGTACATTAGCCTGACACTTAAAACAATATTTTATGTTTTGATACAACATACAATATATAGCTTGTATGCCTGCAGTATTTAGGTATGTTGCAATCACACATGATAAACCATTTAAAGAAATTAAATGTTATTACCACCAGGGGCTGCTGTCATGCCATTTACAACCAACCCCAACCCACATGTGACATTCAACAGTTACAGTATGTATTTATTAAATTACCTAAAAGATCATAGATACATGGTATTTATGGAATATGACATCTGTAAGATATGAAAACAAATTATGTCATGATTATGTAAATCGAATAATAAAGCTGTCGTAAGCAGTAAAACACCTACAATTTTGTGTTCCTACATTGTCTGTGCCCCATGGGTAACAACACCATCAAGCTTATAAAGGCACAAACTTTATGTTAATGCAGGTAAATACACCTTGAAAAAATATGCTTTTCCTCCATATATTTCAATGTTATTTCATAATGTTACAGTGAAATATCCTGCAACAATGACCAGAGATTCAACAGACACATAAGGCTGAACAAGAAAAAGTAGAGTGAGTACGCCTCTCCTCTACCCAGCAGACACCCACAGAAAGTGGTTATTTTTAGATTAAAGGTGCATTTAACATCCACAAACTGTACTTTATTGTTCTTTTTGTGATTTTTGGCATGATAGTTGAAGCAGAACTCTGAATGCCAAATGCAACATATTGGTATCCTTCTGTGCTTATTTACAAGACTTGCCGGGCTGATATCTGTCATAAATAACAAACTCTAAATACTGTATTTTTTTTTTATTGCTCAATATCAGCAGCAATTTTAGTGCCCATTTTGGGCCTGGAACTAAATGTTGTTTTCAGTTTGTTTTCTCAACTCGCCATTTGAACAATACATCAGAAAACAGTGAAAATGCATACTG